AAGCAAAAATTAATAATCCTTATCAAACTGTTCTATTTTTCTTGTAAGCCTAGTCCTACTTGGTTCAGCACTACATTAAAATACTCAATATTCACGTGAGAAAGAATCCAAGTCTGTAATTCAACTATCTGATTAGCGGTACAGTAATGGAAAGGTAGAGCAGTGGAAGGCAGCCCAGTTGACCTGGAGTGCCCCAACCTCCTAGTATCTTCTCAGGGAGAGGGTGGAACCTCTCTCCGCGGCCACGGAATGCATTTCCCTGCTGAAAGCCCTAGACCGGAGGTCCCCAGGGCAGTGATCCCCTGCCAGCAGATTCTAAGCAGCCTGACATCTGGCACAGCAGTGCGGGTACCATCTCAAGAGGCGCAGCTGGAATGACCCCCTCTTGCTGTGGGAGGACAGTGCCTGTACTGCAGCACGTTCCTTGCCCATCAACTTTGACAGGATATCTCCCCAAACAAGCTGGGCCCACCTTTGGCTGATGGGCAACCACTTCATTTGCCCGAGCAGAGAGCAACATGCAGTACAATTTAAAATAAAGCTTGGCTGAGCTACATCTACCTAAGAAGCCAGGAGCTGCTGCTGTGCAGGGAGCAGGTGTGCACAGCAGAGAAGCTCGCGGCCAGCCTGCCCCACCTCTCCCACAGCCCAGCAGAAAGCTTAGGGTGTGCCTTGGGAGCAGTGAGGCCTTCAAAGGGTTAAAATGTAACCGCTCTGCGGGCCTGCATTTAAACTTCTCTGTCGTCCTGACAGAAGTTCTTATCAGAGGGCTGCATGGCACTTGGCAAACAAGACATTCCACCTTTTAAACAAATAATTCATTAGGTAATTAAATTCAAGTGAGATTACTCTAATTAAATATACACTGCTGTAGAATCATAATTTCTATGTGGCCTAGTTAAAGATGAACAATCTCTTATTCCCGACCAAAAAATAAAAGCTGTGAAAGGATTCCCCTGCGGGCGAGTAGAATGCATTTCCACGCACTCCACAGAGGTCATTTCAAGGAAGAACTCGGGCGGTAGACCTGGCAGAGGCGGGGGTCTCGGGTCCAGCTCCAGGCTAGGCTGGGCCAGTCTGCATCAGCTGGGCTGCAGGATCCAGACTTGGAGCCAGCAGAGGGAAGCCATTCTGTGCCCTGGTTGTGTGCTCTGGCCGGCTCCTTCCGCTGCCTTAACCGAGACTGCCCCTGCAGACTGAGGTGCAGCCCCGTATTCCTGGTCAGAGGCTTTCACAGCACGCTTGCCCAGAGAGAATTTTCCTTCGCCCTGCGCCTGGATGGCCCAAATTTGGGAAGCTGAAATCCAAATAGCCCAATTACCAACTGCATTTTGGGGATCCCGCAGGAACAAACGGATACTAGCACAGCTGGCACTGCAACCCTCTGGTAACACCGAATTACAAACCCGAGAACTGCACACAGGTGCAGATCACACTGCAGCCCTCATGTAAAAGATACTGTTAATTAAGGGGAGTTTGAGGAAGCACTGACATGTGTACACTCAGACCAGATGCCACCACACTGCAGGCAGTGCCGCCCCACCCCACTGCAGATCCAGGGATGCTCCAACCCGCGTAGGAGGCTGCAGGAAGCCGCTCTGCACCTCTGCCTCTGCTGGGCACCGGCTGGTCCAGCTCTGTGGTCGCTCTCCCTGTGCGCCCGTGGGCTTCGTGCTCCCTCCTTACACTCCTCTGGCAGCTTCCCTCCCAGGTGTCCCTGAGTTTGCCTACAGTGCCTTCTTGGGCCAGTGCAGACTCTGCTGGCTGCAGGATCCTGGCACTCACTGTGTGTCCAGCCCAGGGTTAAGGAGGATGGCCATAGCCATGGGTGTGGGCCCACAGTTGGTGTGGGGTCGAGGAGTTGGAGGGGCCAAGGACTGGTGCCCACCAGCGTGCTACCCCCAAACCGCCCCCTGGCCATGCCTGCGACTCAGCCTGGCTATGACCAAGCCTGGTGGCCTCCTGGGTCTTACTGGAGGAAGCACAAAATCCTAAGGAGAATTTAACAAGGCCATAAATCAGGGGCAAGGGGGCTTGGCTGGCAAGCATGGGCCAGATTAGGCAGCCCTGTTCCACCACCGTGCAGTTTGTCCAGCCACCAGCAGGCCTGTCAGGAGGCTGGTTCCAAAGGCTGTTCTTCCCAGACACAGCTGAGCAACCCCCTCCTCTTCGTGGCAGATCCCTGGACCGGGTTTGCTGAGTCTCAGCCTGGTCAGGGGATGCCCGGGGCTGGGGCTGGGGACTGGGTAGGAGGGGAGGGCGCCTGAACAGGGCCATCTTCTTCACCCAGAACAGTAACACTGACAAGGACAAGGACTTCCCTCCAAGCCTTAACATCCTCTTGTTCCCAATCCATGCTTCTGACCATGGATCCTGCCTCCAGCTCAGAGCATTGCTGTGTCCCTACTTCACGTAGGTCTGCGTGCACTTGGAGGCCCACGCCTGCAGTAGATGCACGGGCTTGCCCAGGGTGCCCACCATCTGCACAGCTGGCAGGTCCCAATCCCGGGCTACTGCTCCAAGAAGCTGCTGACCCTGCGGACCTCCGCCTGGGTGCACAGCATACTGGCTTGGTCTGGTTCTGCTGGAACACTCTGAGAAGCCACTGGCCATGCCTGCGCCAACCCCCTGAGTGACCGTGGAGTTTCGGGAAAAGGATTGCGTGGTGTTTCTGCGACCTAGGGGATGGAGACCCCTGCCTAGCTTCCCCCTCTGAGATGGTCCCAGAGGGTGAGCCTCCTGGCATGTCACTCAAGCCCGAGGCTCCCAGAAACCACCCCCTGGATGGGCCCTGGCATGGGGGAGGGGCAGCACCCACCCACTTTTGTCTTGGGAGGAAAAGCAGGGGTCCGGACGGGGGGGACAGTTCCTGCCCCATGCCACCTGTCTAAGAGTTCCCCCCCATCACCAGGGGCATCCTAGTCCTGGTTTTACCCTGGGGTGACCCAGGAGAGTGTAGGACTCCATTGCCCCCTTCAACACTTTGTCAGAATCCCCGGGAGTGGAGGTTACCCTAGGGGTCTTGGTAACACTAAGGTCCCGGGAGTTTTCCTTCACTAGAGGACACTGGAAGGCTTCTAGACCACGCCCAGCATTTCCTGAGCCATGCCCCGAGGGTGGCAGTGCCCCCCGAGGGTGGCAGTGCCCAGGCAGGCCAAGGACGAGCTTCCCTCGCTCCTCCTCGGCCCCCTCCCCTTCCCAGGAGAGTGTGGACGGCAGAGGACAGGCACATGCAGGGTTAGTGTGCAGTAAGCCTCGTCCTCCAGGGCACAGCAGGGCCCACTTGTATTCACCCGGAAAGCTACACTGGGCCTGGCCCCTTTCTCCTGCGACTCACCTGTAGTGGTTGCCTTCGTTGGGGATACAGGGGAAGGGCTGGGGAGCCCCTGGAGCCTCAGGCAGGGGCCTAGGGCTGGAAAGCCCCTCTGGCTTCATGTCACAATAGGAAAGGAGTTCCCCTCCTCCCCAGGGTAGGGGGTAGGAGTGCCTGGAGGCCGCAGGGGTGAGGGGAGGGGCTCAGCAGGAGCTGGGAGAGGACCTGAGCAGCAGAGAAGCCCAGCCCCACTTCGGAGCCGTAATTAGTAAATACTATTATGGGCCTTATTATTGCTAATTACAGGCGACAGCTGTGTGTGTATCGGCCGCCCGGGGAAATGGATCCTTCCCGGCTCTCCCTGAGTCCCGGGGCCTGGGCCAACGGAAGCAGAAGGGAGGAGGTACGCGCTGCCCCGGCCCAGGTGACTGGCGGCCAGGGTCGTCAGCAGTGCGGCCGCGTCAGGTCCAGCATTCCTGTCCCATCTCACAGGACGCCTCCGCCTGGAGGAGGCTTCAAGTGCAGAGCGCAGGAACCGGGGTGTGGTGGGGTGCGCTCCGACCAGCACCGGCAGTTGCGCCAGGGCTCCGGCGCGCAGTTCTCCCGCACCACCGCGGTCCAGGCCTTCGCAAGAGCAGCGCGCACCCGGCGTCTGCTCCCTGCGGCTCAACGCTGGGCCCGCCGCGATCTCGCCGGCCGCGCTGGAGAAGGAAGGCCGGGAGAGGACGGGCGGCGGGGCCAAGAGCCTCCTTGGTCCCCGGCTCGGGCGGCAGCCGTGCTCCCGCGAGTCCACCCGCCGCCGCCCGCAAGTTGACTTCCTGCGTCCGCGTGGACCAGGCCGCGCCCGCTTCCTGGAGCTGGGCGAGGACGCCTCCCTCCCGCGGCAGCGGTGCGCTCCAGGCATACACGGGTCCTTCCCGCCCCCGGTCTTCCTCCCCCACCCCAACACCTCCTGCCTCCGGGGGTCCCCGCCGACGGCCGCTCTGTTCCCCGGAGCTGGTGTCTTCTTGGCTGAGGCGGCCTTTCCGCAAAGTTTCTGCAACTGGGAAAGCTGCTGCGCCCCGCTCCCGGGCAGCCAGACGGGGTCACCGCCGCACAATCTGCGGGTCCTGGCGGGGCAGCGGACCCAGCGCCTCAAGCCGGGGGTGACCACCCCTCGCAGGCCGTTCCGCCGCGTCCCCGATGGGAAGCTCGGGCGCCGGGTGTTTCCTTAAAAAGGGGGGCACACCTCGGCGGCTCCCCTACACTGCCTGGTCGACAGCTGTCACGAGGCTGCGGGGGCCGGGCGGGAAGGAAGCCGCGGCCGCGCGCCCACCGCGGGAGGAGGCGGCCGGGGCACCACGTGCTCGCCGGGAGGGGCTGCAGCGGCCGGCGAGGGCGGGCGCCAGGCGAGCCAGGGGCGGGGCCTGCGCTCAAGGGGATGCCAATCAAAGCATCAACTTCAAATTGTGTCTGAAAGCCCCGCCGCCGAGCGGAGGGCGGCCGCCGCAGTCGGCGCGCGATCGCGGATCCGGGCGCAGCCGGGAGCCGGGCGCCAGCGAGCACCGGGCCCAGGAGCAGTGAGCCCCCTCCCTCCCCCCGGGCCGGCCCGCTCGCTGCCCGGGGCGCCGCGTTCCCCCCAAGTGTCCCGCCGGCCTCCGCCTCCCTCCCCGTCCCAGCACAGTTGCCCGCCACCGATTCTGCGGCTATGTCCTTCCCGCAGTTGGGTTACCCGCAGTACCTGAGCGCCGCGGGGCCCGGAGCCTACGGCGGTGAGCGACCCGGGGTGCTGGCTGCAGCGGCGGCCGCCGCTGCTGCTGCCTCGTCAGGCCGGCCAGGGGCCGCGGAGCTAGGCGCGGGCGCGGGCGCGGCTGCCGTTACCTCGGTCCTGGGCATGTACGCGGCCGGACCTTACGCGGGCGCTCCCAACTACAGCGCCTTCCTGCCCTATGCCGCCGACCTCAGCCTCTTCTCGCAGATGGTGAGTGCGCTGCCGGGCTGCCCCGCGCCCTCGCGCCTTCAGCGGCCCCTCTATCCTGGGCTGTCAGGGCTGGGGGTAGGCTGGGGTGGGCGGGAGCAAGGTAGCAAGATGCGCGCTTAGGGAGACAGCTCGATCGGGCTCGGCCAGGGCGCAGAGCGTGAGAGGTCCTGCCTACGGGGCGCAGGAGGGCGGAGGAGGAGGCCTCTCTGGTCAGGGCCTGGCCCTCACAGTCTGGGGAGGGGGAAGGCCTGAGCCATCTGGGAGTGGAGAGGCCGAGGCAGCAGGCCTGGGGCTTGGTCGGTCGGGGCACAAGCACCCGTCTCTCGGGCACCAGAGCAGGCTCCAGGGTTCCAGCGGCTGGGCTTGGTGTGCTGCACTTGGCTTGGCTGTCCCGCGCGGCCTCTACAGCTTCTGAGTCGGGCTGGGGAGGCTTCCGTGTGTCCCTGTTTGGCGGAGCTGAGATAGTCGCACTCTGGTGGCAAGAGGGCAGAGCCCAGGAAAAGTCTGGGAAATGAGCCTAACAATGGAGACGGGACGCAATGGAGTAAGTTTCGCAGTGGCGTGGATTTGCGATGGAACGAAAACGTCAATAAACGTTGGCGTCTGGGACTTAGCGTGGACTTCGCAAGTTGCCAAAGTTCGCGCTCTGTTTGCAACGGATGCAAAACGCGCTGGGCTGCCTGCGTTCGGTCACGGAGGCTCCCAGAAGGCGCTCTCGGCGGAGAGTCCGAGATTCACGGTGTCTCCTGGGCCGTCCCTCCTGGCGGTTGGCAGACTAGGGGAGGGGACCGCGAATTAAATTATCCGTGGGGGCCTTGGCCGGTATGCAGGGTCCTTAGGGTCCATTCGCCTGGGTCTGGCTGCAGGGCCGGCTCTGCGTAAACTGCGGACTGCCAGTGCCCTGTGGTCGCGGGGAGCGGTCCAGCGGCCTCCTGTGCGTGACTGCGTGCACCTTCAGGCAGGATCCCCAATCCCTGGAGCAGAGTACCGCACGCTGCCAGTGAACAGGGGCCTGCGGCACGCTCTCCTCCCTATAACTTTTCGTGTAATTCTAAAGGCAGGCAGGCTTGTTTTGCTGGACTAGTCTCCAACTGCCAAGGCAGAGCTGGTCCCCATTTTGCTCCGGCAGCGGCAGGACTGCCGGCGCTGCTCCGGGATCTGCATAAGGTGTTCTTTCAGAAAAGAACTCCAGGGGCCACCAGGCCAGAAGGACTTTTCCTTTAATGCGTGCAGAGTCCTTGAAAACGCGCAATGTGCACGTCGCTGTTGGCCCTGGCCTGGAAAGGGCGGCTTCTCCGTGGCCCTGGTCGTCAGGTTCCTTAGGCAAGGAAATGTGTTCCCTGTGCAACTTGCCCGGCTTCCCGAAGCGAGCTGCATCTTTGCGCGGCGTTTGCCGAAGGCGTGTTTTTTTTTTTTTAACAAAAATTCTGAACACAGCTGCGTGCCATTTGGGGACTCTCCCCGAGTGTGTATGCGTGTGCGCGTGCACAAGAGTCCCAGGGTGAGGCCCTGTCCCTTTGTGCAGAGGGGAGGAAGCGGGAGCTACGCTTTTGTTTGGTTTGGGTTTGTTTTGTTTCATCACGCAGCAGATCCCAAGTAGAAAACCCTCCGTGAAAGGTGTGCAGTGCTTCCACCAGCTCTCCCGTGGGGGCTTGGACCGCCAAAGCCCATAGCCTGTTTCCATCGAAGGCTTCCAAAGCCCCTACACTGCCTGGGTTATTTGGGAGTCAAAAGAAAAAAATGTGCGTGGACGTGTGTCTGAGCAATTTATGGTTATAATGAGGCCTAATGAGGTTGTTAGAAAGATAAAATGTTATTTACCCAAAAACCTGATGGGGTAATTTGACTGGCTGTGTTTTACTACTGATGATAAAAAGAGTATTGATTGCAGATAAATCACCGCCTCTAAATGCCCGCGGACAGTTTGCGCTGGCTGCCCCAGATCAAAGTCAAACTTGAGGATAAAGTGGCCTCCATGAGGCCCCCGGAAACGGCCGCGGCTCCCGGCTGCAGCGGGCCGCGCGATCCTCGCGATCCCACTTCACCAGCTAAACCCTTCCGTTTGCATTTACGAACTAAACAAAACAAAAACAAAAAGTAATTGGTATCCCCAGTGGCTTGCCAGGGCCTGGAGGGCCGAGCTAAGCGACCCGCGGCGCTGCGGTCCAGCAAGTTTGGGCGAATGGAGCACTGCGGGGCGCGCTTTCGTTTTAAACCAGAGGCGGCCAGGGGCGCAGGGCCGGCCTTGTGGTTTATTTTTCTTGACCCCCTCAGGGTCGAAGGGAGGGGGCTGAGAAGCTGTTTTATCAGTGCAGTTAAAAGGTTTCCCTCTGGCTAGAGTCAGATAAACTGGGAAATCCCAGCTTCTCTGCTGGTGGTGGGGACCCTGGGGGCCAGCGCTTCCTTACTGCTCTGCGCAAATAGCCCGCGTTCCACAAGTTCTTTTTCTTTCTTCTACATTTTTTTTTAAAGTGATCTAAAGCTATCGCCAGGGTCGGGGGAAGCGGAGTTCCCAGGGCCAGCTCTTGGCCCAGTCCCCTCCCAGGAGCTGATCAGGGTCCCTTTGTGCACAGCTGAGTGCACACGCGTCCCAGCGGCCCAGGGCTTGGGGGTGACAGAGGCCCCAGAGCCGCTGGGAGCAGCCATCCCCGACCTCCCCTAGCCTAGGGCCCATCTCATATTCTCTCTCTCTCTCCACCCCCACCCTCTCCCTCTCCACCCCCACCCTCTCCCTGCACCCTCTCCTGACTCGCTCCACCTTGAGGACTCAGGGCTCCCAGTATGAGCTCAAGGACAACCCCGGGGTGCACCCAGCCACCTTCGCAGCGCACACGGCACCGGCCTATTACCCCTATGGCCAGTTCCAGTATGGGGATCCCGGGCGGCCCAAGAACGCGACACGCGAGAGTACCAGCACGCTCAAGGCCTGGCTCAACGAGCACCGCAAGAACCCGTACCCGACCAAGGGCGAGAAGATCATGCTGGCCATCATCACCAAGATGACCCTCACGCAGGTCTCCACCTGGTTCGCCAACGCGCGCCGGCGCCTCAAGAAGGAGAACAAGGTGACGTGGGGTGCGCGCAGCAAGGATCAGGAGGACGGCACCCTCTTCGGCAGCGACACCGAGGGTGACCCTGAGAAGGTGGAGGACGATGAGGAAATTGATCTGGAAAGCATTGACATTGACACGATAGGCGGCGACCACGACGGCGATCAGAGCAACGAGGATGATGAGGACAAGGCCGAGGCCCCACGCGCCCCCGTCGCGCCGCCGGCCCTCACCCGGGACCAGGGCTCGCCCCTGGCAGCCCCCGATGTCCTCAAGCCCCAAGACTCTCTTTTGGGACTGGCCAAAGAAGCCCAAGAACCTGTCAGCACTCGCCTGCTGAGCCCTGGAGCTGGGGCGGGAGGTCTGCAGGCCGCCCAGCACAGCAAGCCCAAGATCTGGTCCCTAGCAGAAACCGCCACCAGCCCCGATGGCGCGCCCAAGTCCTCTCCCCCTCCTGCGAGCCACGCCGGCACGCATGGGCCTCCTACAGGCGCACCTCTGCAGCACCCTGCCTTCCTGCCCAGCCATGGACTCTACACTTGCCATATCGGCAAGTTCTCCAACTGGACCAACGGCGCTTTCCTCGCGCAAGGCTCTTTGCTCAACATGCGCTCCTTCTTGGGTGTCAGCGCGCCCCACGCCACGTCCCACGGTCCGCACCTGCCCCCGCCACCACCGCAGCCACAACCTCCGCTTGCCATCACCACCGGATCACTACATGGAGAAAAGGCCTCGGCCCGCAGCAGCCCAGCGCTTCCAGGTACCATGACTCCAGGGGGAATACAGAGCCAGGGTTGGGGTGGAGGGAGGAACGCTGGGCAGTGGTTCCCTAAGCAGGCTTTCTTTCCGAGAGCCAGACCCAGGCTCTAGGCTGCTGTCCCCGAAGAGCTGGGGCTTCCGCTCCGCTCCGGCGTAAGCCTAATGCGGAGTTTTGGGGAGGAGGCGCGATTCTTTGTGCCTGCCAGCGGCTGTCCGGGCACCTGTACGCCTGCTCCCTCCTCCTGTCTCGGCCTAACCCTGTCTCTACCACCCCCTCACAGAGAGAGACCTTGTTTCCAGGCCGGACTCCCCAGCGCCCCAGCTAAAGTCGCCCTTCCAGCCAGTGCGCGACAAGTAAGTGCTGGAGACTCCGGCCCGGGGTCTGGGAGGAGGTGGGTACTGTGGGGGCAGGACGGAGCGGGGCTGGGCGGCGGTGGGGGTCGCGCGAGGGAGCGGAGCCCAGATTCCTGGGAGCCGGGGGCTCGCAGGGCGGCGTCAGCGCACTGACCCAGCTCCCGTCTCGCTGTCTCCCCCTCCCACAGCTCACTGGCCCCGCAGGAGGGAACGCCGCGCGTCCTCACGGCCCTCCCGTCCGCCTGAGCCGGGGTCTCCCGTTCCTTTTGCCAGGGGAGGGGGGAGGAGTCGGGGAGAGGGCGGGTGGAGGGGGGAACTCGGACTGTTCAGAGCGGAGCGGAAGACAGCTCCAACCGCGACGTCCACGCCTCGGCCCGGCTGCTGCGGAGAGGGGCCCGCGGCCCGCGCGCGCGGGACCCAGGCGGCCAGGGCTCTGCCTGCCGCCCCCGGGCCGCCCCCGGATTCGGGAAAGGCCCTCACGTGCTTGTGTCTCTTTTTTCCGCCTCTTTCGTTCTGTATATAGAGTGATCTCAGATTGTAAATAGCGCGTCAACGAACTTGTCCAAATCATATATTTTTGTCTAATAAACTGAATGAAAGGAGGCGCGGCTCCCTGCTGGTGGCTGTGGGGCTGCGGTCCCAGGGAGGTGCTGTGGGCGGCCTCTCAGACAGAGGTACCTTCCACTCCGGTTGTTCCCAGGCAGCAATTAATCCCTACCAACTGTTGGACCAGCGTGTGCAGGGTGCAGTGTTGGTTTCTCATAAGTGAGTTCGATTTGGGACATTTAGAAAACGATTTGGAAAGGAAAAGTGGGAGAAACCGGCAGGAGAAAAGTGAAAGGGCTTTCCAGACCAGGCGCAAAGAGGTGCCCGCGTAGGAGACAGCATCCGGCTGCAGCCGCCCTGCGCTCCTCTTCGCTTCGGCAGAGGAGAGTGGGGTAGGAATTTCGGCGCTCAGACCGCACTCTTCATTTCTGGGTTTTGTCCAAGATGGAGAAAAGGGAAAGTTGCTTAATGTCAGGGCGCTTGGATGCAGCAGGGGAGGCGAGAAAGAGAGAGAGAGAGTGAGAGAGAGCGCCAGTGAGCGCGGGAGCGCTTTGGGCGTCTTGGGGCTATGTCGCTTTCAACCCTGGCGCCTCTGACTGAGTCCTGGGCTCAGAGGCCTGTGCAGTGAAGGCCTGGAGAAGCAGTCCCCCAGATGGCGTGGCCCTGTGGTGCAGAGAGCTACGCCCGCAGAGGCGAGGAGGGGCGCTGGTCTGGAGTCTCACGGTGGATGGTTTGCACCGCCTGGCGCGGGCGCAGGCGCGGGTGTGGGCACGGAACCGGACACAGTGCTGCCGCCTGCGATGCACAGCGGCTCTGAAGGCAGTGCGGGGCCCTCCCTGAGCAGAGAAAACAAAGGTTTTTTTTTTTTTTTTTTTTTAACCAGTGAAGGTGCGGGCTGCACCGGGAAGCTAGTGAAGGTCAAGGCCCCACAGTGTTGCTACCCTTTGGAGACCCACTTGCTTCTGGGCTGTCCTTGGTGACTCAGTTGCACAGCTGGCCCAGGTACCTGTGGCCGCGCCCTAGTCCTTCCCTGCGTCTGCTGCGGGGCGCCAAGGACGCCGTGGGGGCAGGTGCACGCATGGGCGAGCAGCCGGGAAGGAGCAGCCAGGAAGGAGCAGCCCACAGAGCCAGTGGCCAGGCAGCCTGCGGGCCCGGGTGGCCTCCGCAGGGATGCAGCTTAGCGGTCTGCATGGACGTGCTCGCGGCGCCCTCTATGGTCCGAACGTGGAACGGGGCCCCTACTGGCTCCCGGGTGGCTCTTGGGGGTGTGTCGCGCATCTAAGGGCCTGGGATCCGGGCTCCGTGGGCTCCAGCCAGGATGACACGGGGCGGAGCTGCACTGCGCACCAGGAGCCACCCGCGTCTTGACTGCGTGCATTCGCTGGCAGGGCTGCTAGGCTTTTGAGGAGAGGACTCCATGCCCATGTTAGGTTTCTGTCCTGGCCTGATGGGGCAGGCAGAGGCAGGGAGGGTCCTAGCCGGCCTTCCGTGGAGCCCAGGTGCCTCTGAACCTGGACCTCTGTGGTTACTCGGTCACTCGGTTCCGGGTTCCCTGCCCCCTAGACCCCTGACCACGCCCTCCAGGAGGTCCAGGGCCTCCCATGACCTAGGCACCTGGCCTTTCCAGGAGCTGCTTCTTGTGCATGGCAGGAACAGCGGGTAGGATTCCCAAGACCCCTGACCATGGCAGCCCGTTTATTTCTGGAAACAATTAGGAGGCCCCGAAGCTTATCCTTCTGCCCAACCCCATGCGTTCCCCCCCTAGCCAGGATGGGGCTCCCTCCGAGGTTCTCAGGTGAGTGGTCTGCCATTTAGGGAAGGGCCTTGAGCCCTTGGAGGAAGCCAGCAGAAAGCGCCACAGCCTTGGAATAGTTTTCATGCGGGTTATGCTGGAGCATCCGCAGGAAAGCACTGGCTCCCGAAAGCTCCAAGCTAGCAGACATGGGAGCTGCAGCCTGGCCAGGGCACTCAGGGCAGCTCTGCGGGCGCATGCCCTAAAAAAGAAGAGAGCAGGCTTGTGCTCAAAACCAACCACCCTTGGGTGGAGAGTGCCCCCTTCATCCCTGTGTCCCCCTGAGTGGAGGAGGTCCTTCCTCTACTGTGTCCCCACAGAGGGTTGGAGTCTGTTGAGCTGTGTGTGTGTGTGAGAGAGAGAGGCAGAGCTTGGGAAGCACTGTGGGGGTGGGGACGGGGCAAGTCCCTGTCTGTTCCCACGCCCACTCCCAGCAGCGCCCAGCTGGGGTCTGAGGGTGCGGAGAGTGGGCACAGGTCCCGGCCTGGCCTGCCCCGCTGCGGTCTTAGAGGTCTGTCTGCCATAGCACATTCATCTCGTGGGCAATAGGTGGGATGCATATTCATCTCTGGGTTTCAGTGGCCTGACACTGATTAATGTCGTATGCGCCTGGGCTCCGAGGGGTGCGCTGCCCGACCGATGAATCATGCCCTGGAAGTTTCCCTCCTTGTCCTTGTGGCTGGGGCTCTAGCCGGGAACAGGGCAGGGGCGGCTCCCAGGGTGGGGCCGGAAGGACTGCTGCTTGGTGCCCAGTACCCCAAGCCTGACCCCAGCCAGGGCCAGCGGGGGCTGACACACCTGCACTCGGGGAGACTGGGACTCTGAGCTTGCCAGCAGCATGCCTCTGCGGGTGAAAAAGGAGCTCTGGGCAAGGCACCGCAAGATGATCCCTGGCCACCGCCTGTGTAACAGCGAGGGACACCTCTCAGGACACAACTAGATCCCGGGTGTTGGGGCAGGAGTGGGGAAGAAGCTGTGGGCTGCCTGCTGGTGGTCCTGGATGTGTGCTTGGCCCCAGCCCAGGGGAAGACTGTCCAGGATCTAGGCCAAGAGGTGACCACAGAGCTTCTGCACCTTCTGGGTGGCTGAGTCAGTGTGGGTGGGGGCGGGGCGGGGCACCCACTGGGCCAGGGCTGAGCGAGTGCCCCTCCGGTCTCCTGCACGTCTCTTTGAGCTCATGTTCTAATTGTGGCTCCTGAGCTCAAAGGCCAGTGAATGTCACCTGCGGGGAACTGCTGGCCATCCATCCTACCCCAGTGACTGGCTGCTGCAGGTGCAGATGCTGTCTGCGGATGGGATGGACTGAAGCTGAGTGAGGCGTGGCACAGCGTGCAATCTGGAGATTCTGCAGGCTCACACTGGGGGTTTAATTTTTCAGATCAAAGGAGTGACTTTAAGGTGCAGGTTATTCATCCTTACCGACCCCCCCCCCCTTGCATTTGCAGGCTTTGGTAACATTCGTTTTCAGTGGAGGACAAGGGCCCAGGAAGGTGAGTGCAGGAAGCTCCCACCATCCTCCGAGTGTCTACTCCCACTCCTCCCTCACACCCCTGCAAGTTGTCCTGAATTGGGAGGTGGTCCTGAGCTCCGAATGGAAGTGCCAGCTCCCTGGGCAACTCCTCCAGTCTGTCCCCAACTGTGGACTTCCAGGGCAGGTGGCGTCCAGCCTTGCCCTAGCCAAGGCTTCCAGATTCTCCCACTGGAGAGGAGAGGGCTGGTCCTGCCTGGCTGGGCAGAGCCGTGGCCCTTCTCCTGACCCACTCCCAACCGCCTATGGATTCTGCAAAGGCAGCCATCTGAGATCCCCCGATCAAGTGAGCTCAGCGTCTGAGTGTGGGGACCCTGGCAGGGTTACACTGGGGTGGAGCAGGCAGGTCCGTGCACCTGACCAGGAGAAGCAGCCTGGTGGGGTCTCTGTCCTCAGCCCCAGCAGACCTGTGCTGCAGGTAGAATGGGTTAAAAGCCTCCACAAAGTAGGATTGTTATTTTAGGTTTCTTTTCCTGCCTGCAAGGGTTGGCACCCCTTCCAATCAGATCATCTGGGTGGAGGTAGGATGGGGTGCCTGGGCAGGCTCGCTCTGGAAGGGGCTCTGCAAGGGCACCTGCTGGCCACGCAGGTCCGTGTTTGTCCAGGTGTGTCTCGGTGGCATCCACCCTGTTTCCTTGTTTGTGGCTCTGGTGCCTCCACTTGTTGTTGATGTGTAAGTGTATGCTTAACTGCCAGAGCCTGGGATAGCGGTGGTAATATCTGAAAATATTAAATACATCTGCGAGGTGGTGGGCAAGACAGAGAAATTTAAAAGGTGCTCGCTGCACAGAATCTTAAAATCTCACAATGAAATGATTATCATTTTTATGAATAAAAGTAATCATGCATTAGGTCTGTAGCACACTGCATCTGAAAACCAAATGTGGCCCCTGCAGCTCGCCTCCCTGGCGCCCGAGGACCGCGTGTGGCCAGTGAGCATTGGAGAATGCTCACGGGGGGCTGACCAGGGACAGAGACCTGCATTTGTTATAGCCTACATGAGTGAATAAACAAATCAGCAAATCCCTCTCAGAACTGTGTCATAACCATGCACGGTCACAGCCACAATCAATAGCAAACAGAAGGGCATTTTTTTCTCTCTCTCCCTTTTGTAAACTCTCAATCCAAACGGGCCATTTCTATTCTCGGGGATGAAGAGGGGGTTGTGGGCACCTGGCCATCAAGGACAGGGAGGAAGGCCAGAGACTCTGGCCGTTGTGACGTTGTCCCTCCACGGACCATCGGATTGGAGGGCAGGCTCTCGGCATTATTAAAATTTCCACTCTTGCAGATAATAAAGTGTGATTTCCCCTTGCTCGCGCGCTCGCGTTGGCCTCTGCCTGCCTTCTAATCTCTTGCCACTGTGGTTTTGGGAGCTTT